AAAAAAAAAAAGATGTAAGGATCGGACGAGAGCAGATGCTTCTTCCTCTGCTGCTGAGATGTATTATTTACAGCAGATCGTAATGACTGTCATCTAGTAAGCTGATGTCTGTGTGTATATGCATGTATTGTTTTATCAAAGCTTAGATCTTTATATTAACACCCACATAATCACAGCAAAAAGACTTACAGAAGAGCTATATATAGCCACATGGCAGCTTATGGTATTTAATGCTGGTATTTTTCTCCTCCACCCACTCTCTTCTTGTCTTTTTATTTCTTTTCTTTCTTCCCTTTCCTGTCTTTACTTCCTCTGACTGGTCAGAATCCAGCTGAAATAGAAAAGGAGAGTGTGTGTAGTGGTCAGGTTGTGAGTCTTGCAGAGAGGTCCTGTCCCAGCTTCTCCTCCGCTCCTCATACCCATGTTGTTCTTCTTCTCCTCCCACAGATGGGATGGGTCGAGTCCTGGCTCAGGACGTTTATGCCAAAGACAACCTGCCACCCTTCCCTGCCTCTGTCAAGGATGGTTACGCTGTGAGGGGTAAGTTTCCCAGATTATGGCCGATAATGTAAAACTCGCTCCTCTCCTCTTCTCTATCTCTCTTGACGTCTTAATGTCCGTCCGCTGCAGATCCGTTCAATATTTTTGTGATATGATTCAATGATGCATAGAATTAAACATAAATACAGCCATAGATCACTCTTAAATCTGTTCGGGCACTTTATTACGTTGCTGATATTTTTGCTATTCTTATTTTGTCCCCACAAGTCACAGATCTGCAACCGGTCTACAGCCCAAATATTGAAACTTATTGACAAAAGCCATAGATCGGAGCCAAATCGGCGTTTGATCAGCAGGCACCAATCACTATGAACTCTTCAAAGACCCTGACTAGACTTCTAGCAGGCTTAATATCTGAATTAGGTCGAGGGCTTCTCCTGGTGAAAAATCAGGTAGTGTGTGACCTCCTGTTCTCTGTCGGTCGTGTCGTATGAACTCACGACGACTGTGAGAACCCTGATCAAAGAACACAAATCCTGTAGTGTGAACATGGCTGCACAGTTTATCCACAGAGTCACTGCTGTCCTTTCTTAGGAGGAAGTTTATGAGCGTAACCAGGCCAGTGTGTCTTTCTTCCTGCTCAAATGATCTGACTGTCCCACTTAGACATGAACAGGACACTGGGGCAGTGGAGAACAGCCTCAGGAACAATGGGAGGGCTTCTTCTGCCAGGGCAAAGTGGAGGAAGACTGACGCACTGCACTGTGGGAAATAGACGAGAGGCTCTGATCTGCCTCCAGGTGCAGACGAGTAACAAGAGCTAAAGTTCTAAAACTGCTTGGGGTTTAGCTTTGTTCAGAAAGACGAGTTACGTTCCAATGTCTGTGATAACTCCTCGGAGCGTTTTGTTTTCTCTGTGAGGGCTGAGGCGAGGTTGGTTGTCTGGGAGTCCTGGAGCGGCCTGTTAACCTGGAGAGCAGGGTGGCAGCTTGTTGGCTCCAGGCGCCTCAAAAACTCTTGCATATAACATCTCCTGTTGGCTCTGGCTAATGGAGTAGGAGGAGAAGCACACCAGGTCTCTCTGGATTTTCTACATATGTCCTGAGGGCCTGGCTCCTGCTGAGGCAAACGTGCAGATCTCAGAGATTTGAGAGCCGAGACCGTGGGTGTGGAGGGAGCGGATAACCTTTTGCCTTTAACAGAAATAGCTCCATCTACCTTTCTCCGTCACTGGGAGTTAGAGGAAAAGCCCAAAAGCTGAATTAACTTTTTTTAGGCTGTTAAATGGGTACCGGTAGTCCTGAGGTCAAAGCTGGACGACTGGTGGCGCCAAGTTTCCTCTTGTGGCATCATCCCCACAAATGCAGGGACATAAGAATGATGGAGTTTTCTGTCATATGAGAATGGTGCTGTTTGGACAGGTTGGAGTTAAAAACGCAAAGATCTTGAAGTAGACAATAAACTGCAAAGTCTGAATGGTCCGGTCCACGGAGGATTTATGTGATTTGCATCACCAGCTTGTCCCGCCCTTTGCCCTTCCTCCCCTCAGCAACAGAGCTACAGTTGGACGTGATGAGAAAGTTTGAATGCCCTTGTGTTTTTTAACGTGTGCACCGTTAACTGTTCAGTTAAGTTGAGGCCTGATACTACAGGGTTTTCACTGGGTCTACAAAAAAGTCAGAATTTGAATAATCAGATTTTAGGTCCAATGGTCTTAAAAAGTCTTAAATTGAATTTGGCTGTTGCTTTCTCTTCTACATTTATAAGTGTTAGTATTGAAGCTTTTATTCTCTTTGCTTGCCTCCGCCATTATCTCCTTGAAAAACAGCCTGGGATAGGTTGGTCTCAGAAGGATCCACCCATCGGAGCCTTTGTTACTCTGGCATGAAAGGACGCATTTGTCCGCAGCATTTGAAGGAGCCTTAGTCTTCTTTCCTAGTTTCTCATTCTGTAGCTCACTGAAATGACTAAATGAAACAGTCCGACATACACATTTTCACACAGGTGTAATGTTATAGAATCTTTCTTTTATTTTAGCTGCTGACGGCCCAGGCGACCGCTTCATCATCGGAGAGTCCCAAGCTGGAGAACAGGTTCGGACCTACATTGACACACGCGGCACCCTTACAGGAGGAAGTGGACACGCATTATTCATCCTTGTATACAATAATAATAAAGACCAAATTACCAAATCTATTATTTATTTATAACGTGTCCTGGTTTGTCCTTCTTTTGTAGTTAAATTTTAATATTTTTCCGCTCCCCGCACAGCCCACTCACACAGTGATGCCTGGTCAGGTGATGAGGGTGACGACAGGCGCCCCTATCCCCTGTGGAGCCGACGCTGTTGTCCAGGTGGAAGACACCGAGCTCCTCCGTGAATCTGAAGACGTAAGTGTGACACTTCACCCGACATATACATAATTTAACCAAAACAGGCAACAGCAGCTGAAAATGGCTTCTGTTGGTTTTGAATCTTAAGGTGAGTGAGTTTAACCCAGAGATGAATGGGACGCTTTATAAATCTTCACTTGGATTTGATGGGAAACTTTATCTGTCTTTCAGGGCACAGAGGAGCTGGAGGTACGAATCCTAGTACAGGCTCGTCCAGGGCAGGACATCAGGTAAATGTCTTCTTGTGCCTAGGTTAATATGAAATACTGCAGATTTGGTGTAAATCTCATTCTTAGCAACATCAAACTGTTAGAAGTTACAACACTGTAGGTGCAGTTTAAACATTTTAATTAGCATTTACGCAGGATTTAATTGGGTTCACTTCTCTGCAGGCCTATAGGTCATGACATCAAGCGTGGGGAGTGTGTGCTGGCAAAGGGCACCCACATGGGCCCGTCCGAAATCGGTCTCCTGGCCACTGTCGGAGTCACAGAGGTGGAGGTCCAGAAATTCCCTGTGGTGGCCGTCATGTCCACAGGAAACGAGGTAAAACCATTATTTTCATTTTGGAAACATGTGTGTAATAACATGTGTCATAAAATAATGACTTTATAATGACTCTCATGCCTTTGAACAGTGTTAACTTTGAATCTTCATACTTAATAACCAAAACATCTCATTGCTTGACTTCATGAAGGAATATAATTTCAGCCAATTTTTCCGTTTTTAATATTTTTTATTTTTCATTGTGAATTTCAAATTGTAAAACCACATGAAATAAAAACGAGTTTTTATTTGAGAGATGATGGAACTGAACTTAATGACGAAAGCCACAAAAAAGAGGATTCAACAAGGACTCCAGAGAGTCATGTGACAAAAATAAAAGACTGCTATTGGTCTCCTTAGGGCTCTGACTCATTTTTAAAGTATTGCATCATAATTGAATATGTGTCGTGCAAGTGTAAAAGGCCAAAGAATGGGTATGTTACCGAGAGGCAACGCTGCACCGTGGAGGATTAGACGAGTCTGATGAAACAGAGGAAAATGATATACAGGACATATTTAGCCCTGTGGTGAAATGGAGAACTGTGCAAGGTGAATCTTGCCTCTAACACTATATATAGTTTATAGTTATTTAGTTTACAATTAGGTAAAACAGAATAATGAAGTAAATACATTGGAAAAGCTTCAATCACACAATGAATTGCATTTTTGATTGATCAATAATTTGAATGATTTACTTTCAAAAGTTATTGTGATGAATTTTCTGATCATAGCATAATCATTTATGGCAGCTGCTGAACCCAGAAGATGACCTTCATCCTGGCAAGATCAGGGACAGCAATCGCTCTACCCTGCTGGCCACTATCCAGGAGCACGGCTACCCCACTATCAATCTGGGCATCGTGGGAGACAAGTACGCCTCCGCATTTATCCACTAACAGAAATGTCTTCAGCCATAAACATACTTTCCCCTTCACTTCATCACGCACACAATAACAAAATCTGATGTTCATCGTCTTCCTCTACTTCTTTAGAGCAAGTGATTAATGTGTGTGTGTGTGTGTGTGTGTGTGTGTGTGTGTGTGTGTGTGTGTGCGTGTGCGTGTGCGCGTGCGCCCCACAGCCCCGATGACCTTCTCAACGCTCTGAATGAAGGCATCAGCCGCGCTGATGTCATCATCACCTCAGGAGGAGTGTCCATGGGAGAGAAGGTATGTGACAGAAGAAGAGTGCACACGTTCAGTCATGGCTTTGTGTTTTACTGACACCTTGTGGCGGGTGTACCAATGGCAGCCTGTACTTGACAGTTAATAATGATAAAACACAGTTTGCTTTTTTCTAGTTTGTTGAAATTTATAATTTTTATTTTATTTACAAAGGATTAAGTCAGGTTTTTGTTATCTCAAGTTTCCGCACAAAGGTATTATTTGTTCATTCTTTTGTGTTTTAGTTTTTTATCTTTTTAAAATGTGTCATCAGGCTTTTTATGCCTTCATTATTAAACAGGACAGTATTTAGCTAACCTGTGGCCGCTGCAGGAGTTTGTTAAATGTCGCTGTATATCTGTTTTTTTTGTACAATTGTCCATAATGTCTGTTTCAGGATTACCTTAAGCAGGTGCTGGATATCGATCTTCATGCTCAGATCCACTTTGGTCGTGTTTTCATGAAACCAGGGTGAGAAAAGGAGTTTGATTTATTCTAATGTGACTTTTCACAACGGGCAACAAAGGGCACAAAGTCAACTAAAATGATCGGTGTGGATGTAAGATGTACATTTAAAGCAGCGTTGCACAAAATAGTTGATAAGAAATAGAAACTGAAGTAAGAATGTGTGACAGATTTAATATCATGATTGAAATCTAAACTATATGTTTTGTTTTTTTCAGTCTCCCAACAACATTTGCCACCTTGGACATTGACGGTGCTCGCAAACTAATCTTTGCCCTCCCAGGTAGTGTGTGAAGTTGAGAGAAAGAGCGATTCACCCAGACGATTCTGAAGAGATGTTACTCATATATTTTCCCCTCCTCTTTCTCCCCGCTCTCTCTCTGTCTGCCCGTCTGTCCTAGGAAACCCCGTGTCCGCTGTTGTCACCTGTAATCTTTTTGTCATCCCTGCCTTAAGGAAGATGCAGGGCATTTTGGACCCTAGGCCCACCATCATCAAAGCGAGGGTAGGACGTACAGGGCACGGCCGGGGAATCCGGACGTACTGGCCCAAAGACACAGAAAAATCCAAGCTCATTACGTTTCAAAGTACTGGTGGTCATCACTTTATCAGTGGTCGTGTTCAGACCTGGTATAAACATCCCTCCTGAGAGATCTGATCTTGAGCTGTTCAAACCTGGTATTAAAATGCATCCTGAATGTATCTCTTGTCCCGCTCGATATAGAAATAGACACGTACGTCATTTGTGTTCCCAAATGCCACATGTTTTAAGTTTACAGATGTGTCAGGTCACGATGTTTGTGTGTGTGTCTGTCAGAGAGAGAGAGAGAGAGAGAGAGCGGAGTCAGGAGGTCAGTGTATTATTGTGATTCTGTGGCGCTGACCACAAACAAGTCAACACATTAGAAGAGTAGAGAGAGTAAAAACTCGTTCCATTCGTTGTGAAACTGCGGCAGCTCAGAGGACATCAGCTGAGTAGACAATCCTTCATGCATTTGTGTTCACACAGCGAGAAGAATGTGGACATGTGCGTCCTAGACCACCTGAGTGACATCGTCTGAGTGATGGGATCTCAGGGTGCAGTTGGCTGCGTTCAGACTTGTACTTAGAGCCGACCGCTTGACGGATGTTAATACCAGGTCTGAACGAGGGTCATTATTCAGTTGATCATTTGTAGGAGGGGCTGGAGCCAATCCCAGCGGACATCGGCAGCGTATTGCAGGACATTCACACTTACATTCACATCTATGGTCAATTTCAGAGTCTCCAATCAACTTTACCCCAGTCTGCATGTCTCTGACCGTGGGATGAAGCCCGAGAATCTGGAGAAAACCCACACAGACATCGGGAGAATATGCAAACTCCACTCAGAAAGTTATATTTGTACTGAAGTCTCATAAAGTGTAAGATTGCAATCCATTGCATCTTAACTCTGGATTTTATTCTATTTTCATCATCTGCGCGATACATATTTATAACTTTTGCTCTGACTTAGCAGAGGAGGCAATCTCAGCCCACGCTGACCTGGAGGCCTGCTCCCAGGTCATGAATATTCATACTCGTGGAGCAGGAGAAGTCATAATAATGTCATACATACCGTGCAAACGTAGCACGTGTCCCCGAGTAGCATCATCAAGCGAAGAGGTCTGGTCCCCTGCCATCACGGGTGCCATCCAGAGTGCTGTGCTACATCACTTGCTGTTATAAAGCAGTTAGAAATCAACTTGAATGCATTACTGCCACTTAGTGGTGGGACTGATGGCCTCAAAGCACAGACGCAGCCAGATAATTTCCCTCAGCAGATGGCATCAGACCCGGGTCAAGTAGTATTCAGTCAAGAAACCTCCATGTCTGCCAGCAAAGTTGGAAGAGCTCTCCGCTTCTCGCTGTTCACCTTTTTGTGACTCTAAGCATATATATATCTATATCTATCTATATATAGATATATATCTATATATAGATATAAATATAGATTAGGAACATATATAGTAGAGTTTGGGTTGGAAGATCACCTTTTAACCCGGCATATTATTTTTGGTGATGATCCAGACCTGACGTTTAACTTATTAAAATATATCCACAGAATTAGCTTTGTATGTTTTTGTTCCCCAGTTGTCTTGTGATGTGAAGCTGGACCCTCGCCCTGAATACCACCGCTGCATTCTGACATGGCATCACCAGGAACCTCTGCCATGGGCACAGAGCACAGGTGAGGGGCAGAAATGTGCATCTCTCATCCAAGGCCCCACAGTCCTCTTATGCAAACACATTTAAGATCTGGATTTACAGTTGGATCTGCATCAAATTGCAAACACTTATAAATATCCAATTTCTTTCATCAAGATCAATGAATTATTTCCTGAAAAATCAATGGAAATGTTGAAAATCTTACAATGTTTTCCAAAGTTTAAAAAGAATCCTGGATCCGGCCCCTGATTCGGATCAGCACCAAAATTGTCCAAGTTCTTTCCTGACCCATAACACATCCTTCCACCAAGTTCCATTCTAATCTGTCCTGTAGATTTTGTGTAATCTTGCTAAATTACAAACAAAAGCAGATGATATCATAACCTCCCTGACAGCCAACAAAGTAGAGTCATTAAACCTGTGACTCTATATGGATAAAAATGCTCTACAACTTTATGGTATCTGAATTTATTGCATATGAGCACTTGATCTTTACAGTATTTACATATCGACTAGTTTGACAATGAAACCAAGACAATTAATAGATCTGCAAAACTCTTTTTTTATGATGGGGTCAAATACAACACTTCCTAAATTCGTGTCGTGGTTCTGATCTCTGATTCAAAGAGTTGTATCCCCTCTGTGTCCCCCTCCTCTCTGCTGCAGGGAACCAGGTGAGCAGCAGACTGATGAGTATGCGCAGTGCTAACGGGCTCCTGATGCTACCTCCGAAAACAGAGCAATACGTGGAGCTGCACAAGGGCGAGGTGGTCGACGTCATGGTCATCGGCCGGCTATGATGTCGTCACGGAGGGACGGAGAGTCGGCATCATATAGCGAGGGTTGGAATGGGTGGTTCACGGTGCATGTCCACATATCATTGACTATTCTGTAATATGCAACGGCACAGCTAGTTTTTATTGATTTGGATAACGTTGAGGTATAGTCAACATCTTGATCACAACCTAGATACATAT